ATCATAACGATATAGAAGTTTATATGGTAAAACACCAACATAACTCTATACCTTTATGACATATGCATACTAAAGAGATGGCAAATAACTCTCTCAATTTGAATTCTAAAAGTTCATTTCGTGATCATCCTTTTTGAAGGTTTGAATGAGCCATTCTACCAAACCATTTGTTTGTGGTTTCTTATAAATGCCCACTCATACCATAAATCAAATAAAAGATGACATTGACAACTTCAATGATACTCATAGTGATATAGTATAATCAAAAAGATGATCAATGAAACAGCCAAAATATTACACCTTGCCTAAAAAGTGTTGCATACCATTTATATACTTTGGAGTAGGGAACTTGAGAATAGTCACAAGTTTACCAAAATCAACTTACAAACCTTCATGAGAAATATAGTGGGTATGACCACTCGCTTTTATATATAAACTAAGCTCTTTAGGCTAATTGATATGCATTTTTTGTATACCCTTTCTATTCCATGCACTCATATTAATGGAAGTGAGGGGCACCCTTGATTGTCATTGAGGGTTTGGATTTGGGATTTTGGTATAAATTTAGTTTTTGCATTGTTTAGATCTCCTTTCCTTTTAACTTTTTTCATTTCTTTTCTTTTGCTCTTTCCTTTTCATTCCTCTTCATGGCAAAGCAATAGTCTCCTCCTTCTTTGACTCTATAAATACTGCCATTAATTGAGTTTGGTTGTGCAATTGCAATTGCAATTGCATAGCATCGAGCAATTGCATCAACTGCTGGCATGTGGTATAGCTTCTCCTGCTCTTGGTGCCAATCCCCGTATTTGATTAGAGTTATTTTATGGGAATCTTAGAGATGATGTGTACTATTAGTTCGATCACTTCATAATGATTACCACATATCATTCTTGGGATGATGCTCGAAGTTTACGTGAGTTTCTCACATATCTCCAAAGGACGACACTGAAGTGGTACAATGGTTGAGTGCAGCCACTTGTTAGGATTGGAATGTTCTCCCGAACATCTTTAAATGCATATTCGGACATACAGATGATTATGATGATGCCTTCCAACAATTGCATCATTTTCATAAAAGGCCATTTAAGTTGGTGATACAATTTGGTATTTGTTTCTGAAGCCTCTTGCTTTGTGCGGTGCTAAATATATCAAAATGGATCAAGCTGGGAATGTTATAAATAGCACTTCGTTAAGATCTTGTAAGACTTGTGCATGCACTTGCTCCAACCACCCTTGATGATGCTCTTCACTAGGCACAATGTTATGAGATGTTGCTTTTTCCACTTCTCGTTGCACGTCTTTCAGCTCCACTTCCTATGGGAGATAGTCCTATTCTAATGGAGGTTGACGCTGTTGCTGCTCGAGTTCAAGAATAAGAGTGAGGACATGGTCGTGGCTATAATGTTCGCTCCTGGATGTGTGATGAAGTTGGTCACATTTATCGGCATTGTCAATGTTTTCCGGATTAGCAACGTCCATTTCTTGGGTGGAGACTTTGGCATCAACAATGTCCTTTTGGTGGTGCTCCAGTGAAAGGTCTGGACACCAAGATGCATATGGAAAATGAGGAGTTGCACAAGTAATAGAAGGACCTTATGCGAATAAATCAGTGACCTTTCGGGAGTATAATCAAGGGGTTCACTTGACACTAGTTTATCCAATGTTTAAACAAGAGGTCTTTTATTATTTTCTCTGTGTTGGTTGATACAAGTTTGAGTTTATCTTCTATTGCTCGACCTATTGCCACACGTTACCGTTTACATTTGTGTTGTGCGGTGGAGCTAGTTTTCATTCTTTATGGCAATAGCCATACACATACATGTGCATAGGATGAGGCAAATATAGTTATGCATGTGGGCAATCTTAATCTTGGGTTGTAGTTATTATAAGTGGTGCCGACTTAAGCTTTTGACCTCATGCTTAATATGGATTAGTTGTAGTGCAATTATGCCAAGTGTGACTTTGAGGCTTCTCCCCCTTGTGTCATACTTCTTTATATTTCATTTATTCCTCTTACTTTCATACCTTTTCATTGCTTTGTTTGTACTTTTGCTTCCATTACTTTTATCTCCCCATTACTTCCTCGTATATTTCCATTTTGTTCCACTCTTTCCTTTTATGATCCCTCCAATGGTCTTTATGATGTAGTGGTTGATCGGCTCATGAAGAAGTATGCCGATCTCTTTGAATTTGACCTATCGTTTAGAGTTAAGATTGCCACATATTATCCAATTTCAACCAAGGATGCTCATCCAATCAAGGTTTCTATTCGTTGTCGGTCACTCAAAGAGATTAAGATTTTATATGCAAATGTTAAAGAGATGTTGAAAAAGGGTGTTATTCGAATGTTGTGGAGTCCTTAGGTATGTGAACCTCATTTTGTAAGCCAAGCTCATAATACTCCCCATCATGCTATGGAAGGATAGTTGGAGTCAATTGTAATTTCTCGTTTGTTTGAGTTGGTGGGGTTTAATCTTATGGAAACTTTTCCATGATTGACTGCTGGCAATGAGTATGTTATTATTACTTCTAACTACTTGACTCATTAGGTGGAAGTTGATACTCTTGCTAGTGCCTCTGCAACTGTTGTTGGATACTTCCTCCTCAATCGAGTGGTATTCTAGCATTCTTGTCTAGAGCAGATTCTTTTAGATAATGATCTTACATTTATGGCTAAAGCATTTCATTTTAATTCTACACTTTTGTGACATATGCATATCAAAGAGATATAAAATAACTATCCCAATCCAAATGCTAAAAGTTCACGTACTTCATGATCATCCTTATGAATGTCCAAACAAGTTGTTTCACCAAACTGTCTAATTGTGAATGATAAGCACTCGTGAAAGTGTGGCGTATCCCTAACTAAGACGTAATTATTGGTGTTTTACCATATAAACTTTTATATAGTCATAATCCAATATTACCAATGAAGTTGGGTTTACCTTTGGGATTGCTATGAGCTACAGATGCAGGTCGTGGGTTGCATCAACCTCCATTGAAATATGACCATCTCCTACAGGAAGTGGAGCTGAAGAATGTGTAATGAGAAGTGGAAGAAGTGACGTCTCATAATGTTGTGCCAAGCGAAGGGCATTGTCAAGGGTGGCTGGAGCACATGCATACACAAATTTTACAATATCTTGACAAAGTGCTAGCTACAACATTCCCGGTTTGATTCATTTTTATATATTTGGCACTGCACAAAATAAGAGACTTCAGAAATAAACACCAAATCACTAACTTAGATGGCCTTTGACAAAGATGATGCAATTGTTAGAAGTCATCATCACAATCGTCAACATGTCCGAATATGCGTTTGAAGACATTTGGGAGAATATTTTAATCCTTATAAGTGGCTGCACTTAAACCATTGTACTACTATAGTGCCATCTCTTGAAAACACGTGGGAAACTCATGTAAACATCAAACATCATCCCAAGAATGATATGTGTTCTTCCCACAAAAGAACTCCAGCTGAATGCAAGGATCGACACCAAGAGGAGGAGGAGCTGTACCACTTGTTATAAATACCACCATTAACTGAGTTTAGTTGTGCAATTTCAATTGTATAGCATCAAGCAATTGCACCAACTGTTACTCTAGAGTCAAAAGAGGAGGAGATTATTGCTTTGCCATAAAAAGGAATGAAAAAGAAATAGTAAAAGAAAAGAAATGAAAAAAGTTAGAAGGAAAAGGAAATCTAAACAATGCAAAAGTTAGATTTAAACCAAAATCCTAAATCTAAACATTCCTCATGAACAATTAAAGGTGCCTCTCACCTCCACCAATGTGAGTGCATGGAATATATACAACATATCAATTAGCCTAGAAACTCATAAGAGTGAGTGGTCTAGATTGAAACTAATCTGACGGCTACCAAAATCCCACTATGCTAATATTAGTATACAGCATCATAGCCATACACTTGGACTTTATAATTGTAAATTTAAAAATTATTTAATTGTAAAAACTTATATAGATATACCAAATATCATTGAAAAGGATATATAACTTCATTTGAAATACTAAAATAAAATATTATATGTGAGTTTATAAATACCCAAAATATGGCCTCCATTGTTAAGTAAAAATAAAAATTGAACATGTTTCAAAAGAATAATTATAATTATTTACAATCAACATGACAAGTGAGATTGTATAGCTAAGTATTGTAAGAATTTCTTAAAATTCAGAAAGGAATAATAACTTTATACACGTAATCAGCAAGAAGTTTGTGCTTTTATAGGAAAGACAAGGGTCAGTAGAGCTAGACTGCCAAAGGATCACAATTATGCAAGGTAATGAGAGAAGCAATTAAACAAGTGGTTTTCTAACCGACTATTCTGGGCAGTCACTCTCGACTGCTCTCGTACTGGATTAGATGACTGGCACATTATGTTCTGGACATGGTCTTTCATGCCTGGATTGCTTTGTGCCCCCTGTAAGCAGTCACAGTCGATCCTTTACAAAAGTTCGTGGAATCATAAGAGAGGAAAGCAAATCCTTTACGAAATGACGCACTGGTTTTGCAGATGCACACCGTCGTGATGCCTTTTCTTCTGGAGGGAATTCGTTGATTGGGATCTGGACTTTCTGCAGCCTTTATGTTGGTAATCACCTGCGGTTTATCGTCTACATCCCAACACACTGATACTCGGAAAGCAGGTAGCTCGGCTTTGGCTAGCAGCTGTTGGTGAAACAATGGTGCTGTTCCAAACGGTGAAGTCGGTTTCTTGTGTCCTTTTTGCGACTGACTTGGATCCAAACAAGCAGTGTGTCAACTTGGCTTTGTTGTGTGTTAGAAGCATTGGACACACCCATGTCAAATATCATCAAATATCATGGTCAACAGTGATCCTCAGCAAGGGTAATTCGGTAATTCAGGAAGAAGTTTACTGAAAGAAGACAGACAATACAAGGTGTCTTCTGTTGCCTGTGCAAAAAATATGACTGGCAAACATATGTTGCCAACCAAGTGTTGCCCAAACGCCATACAATTGGGGACATGGACACGCGGCTACGTGTTCTATTCAGAATCAAACATTTTACACAAATGTGCGAGGACAAGAGCGAGAGGGAGAGAGGGAGAGGGAGGGGAAAAAGAAAACGAAGGAGAGAAGCACCACTGACCAAGGTTATTTCCATTTCTGCTCTCTACTGCGCCTTCTTCTCGGGCCCCTTAGTAGCAGCAGTGGCGGACGATTGCTCCTTCTCTTTGTAGTACTCGTCCCTGTCCTGAAAGTAGCGCTCGAAAGCTCTAGGCAAAAACAGGGGGATCAAAAATCCCAGCAGATTGATGGAGTAGTACATTAAGTTGCCGATGGCTAAACTCCGTCCAAACCACACCCACGCAGCTTTCTGGGGATTCATTCCATGCAAAAGAGCAAAGAGTGTCATGCCATCTCTTACAGCAAGAACAGCAAAAAAAAAAAAAAAAGGAAAAAACGATAGAGAACTCCCATACCCGGAAATCATGTTGAGGTGGTATAGTCATCGTCAAGGTGATGTGAATCCACGAAGACAAGGCAATGAGCCGGCGAGCAGTGTAGATGATCGGCAGGAGAGCTCGCACCGGGAGGCTGAAGAGCGCAAGCCCACTGATCAAGTTCTCGCTGAGGATCTGGACCGAGAGCAAAAAGAGGTGTGGGGTGGCGGCTCGCACGGACGCCTGGTCACCCCTTGCAAATCCCCCTAGAACATAGGCCAGCGGCAAGAACAAGCCCATCAGCGTCCCCAAGATCACGTAGAGCTGGAAGAGGCGGTTCCCCTTGAACACCTCGGGCGCGGCGCTCCTGTGCTTGTGGTAGTTTGGGAACACCACCGATCCCAGGAAGAACGCGTACAAGGATGCAAAAACCGGGAATGCAAGATCCAAGAGAGGGACTAACCCGCTGGCCGAGAAGACGATGATGAAGGCCACGAGCTGGAGCTCGATGACGCGGAGCGATCCCATGACCCCGCCCAGCGTGCCCGATTCCTGGACGCGCTCCTTCATATCGCCGTGAGCTCTGCCCTCGGTGGCCATTCTCGACCCCGCCGCTAGCGTGGAGCCCGACATGATCCTCGCGCGCTTGACCGCTTGCTCCGATGGAGGGAGGGAGGGATGGAGGGGATTGTGGATCCCAGAAGCCGCAAAATTCTCTCCCGGGAGCTAGAACAAGGAGAGGAAAAAACAGAGGAGTGATGATTCGCAAACGCTAGCGCTAATCTCGCGGAGAAAAATCGATCGCTGGAGAGATTGGAGCTCTTGTCGCGATGAAAGAGAACCCTAGCAGCATAGGATGCGTCGAGAGAGGTGGAGCATCGCGGCGGTGGAGTATCGCGGTGGTGACACGTTCGAGGCACGTGTCGCTGGAGCAAGCCCTAAAACTTTACTAACATAACACACCCATTTCGCGCGAAAAGTTTAAATTTGAAATTTTGAATTCAAAGTTTAGGGCTTGGAGCGCGAGACCTCTGCTAGTTCTCGGTCCAGACTGAAAAAATAGGCATGTGGTGATGCCCGGCCGCCGCCAGCGCCCTCCCATTCAAGGCCTGCTGCACGGGCGTCACGATCGATCCCATGTCGTAGCTGCTTGGCTTGCTGCTCATCCAGTAGCCGCCACCGCGGCTGCTGAGATCCCCGCCACCGCCACCGCCAACAATCGCGCCTCCCTGATCGTAGGAGCTGGACGAGTGGTTCTTGCCGGGATTGGGCTCCTCGTTCTCGCCCACCGACGGCTTTGGGCTGTCGCTCGAGTAGACCGAGTTGCTCATGAGCGTGCTCGTGGAGGTGGATTGCCCGCCCAGCGCGGCGCCGCCCGAGAAGATGTGGCTGCCGCCCTGGTCGCCGCTGGGGAGCGCGTCCAGGCCGATGAGATTCCTCAGCACCGCATGCTGCATGCTTGGCGACTGCTGGATGATTGGCTGGTGGTGGTGGTAGCTGCCGCTGAGGGGATGGACCACCTCCTGCGCTCCCGATGGATTGTAGAGGAGCTGCCAGTCCTGCTCCGGCTTGGGGATGAGCTGCTGGCCGCCGTGGCTGCTGCTCGATCGGAGCTGGCTAGCACTGGCGCTGCTGCCGCGCACAAGTACCACGTCCTCGTCCGAGGTTCGTATGATCTGCTGCTGCTGGCTCTGATCCACTCCGGAGTCGCTGTCCTTGTACCTCTTGGCGGTCTCGCCCAGGAGCAAGCTCGGGCTCGAGCAGATCTTCTTAAGGTCGTAGCGGCTGATGTCGAAGTTGGTGACCGCGTTGATGCCCCGGAACTTGATCGCGGCGATGTCGTATGCTTCCGCGGCTTCCTCTTGCGTGCCTGGTTGGTTTAAACAAGATCAGACCGAGCGAGGCATTGCATTGCTCTAAACAACTGAGAACTTACTGAAAGTTCCGAGGTAAAGATCTTTGTTGCCGGCTACTCTTCCAATCCGGGCTTGCCAGCGTCCTTGTTGATGGTGTCTGCATGATTTAAAGCTTGTTAGGAATCGCAAAGGAGAAGGATTTACGGCACGCTTACCTCGTCACTCCCCTGTAAATCGATGCTCCTCTAGAAAACCCACTACTTTTCCTGCGAGCACACATTTTTCAGCGAAGAAATCTTGGAGGCAAGCTGGGGAACGACTGAAATACCTTCTAAGGGAAGCCACAAACTCCTGCCGTGTCATGTGTTTCATCTCCTCCAGCTCCTTTTCATAGTCACTTAGCTGATGCCAACCAAAACGTAGTTTACACACGGTCTTGTGAGTTCATGAATAATACAAGAGGAAGGAATCTTACAGGAAAGTTGATGGTGGTCGTAGGTCCCCAATACTTGAGCGCCGCCAGATCATACGCTCGCGCTGCTTTCTCTTCTTTGTCATAACCCCCTGCGCATTCATTCCCGGCAAGAAACATTAAATGAGGAACGAAAAAAAACTTCAAGCACGAACAACAAAGAGTGACACTCACCCAGGTAAACTGCGCATTGATCGATCCAACGAAGTTGCGTCCACCACCACGAATACGGAAAAGCAAAAAAGCAAAAGAGAGAGCGGTCAGCTCGCGGAACTTTGTATCGAATGATCAACAATGAACATACCTTGCCTCCCTTTCCTGGTCTGGCCCTCCTTTCGACAACTATTGTCCCACAGATGTGCCTCGTAACGTCCAGTCCAGCGATGCCTGCTCCATCAAACCCGTGATTAGACTAGCTATGGTTCCTCTATATATCGATCAAAAGTTGTCGATCACGTACCTTGTAACGCCTCGATAGATTGACGTTCTCTGTCCGAAGGTGTCGATGGATTTCCTGGGAGACGGCTCCTTGCCACCGGCCTTGGGCCTCTTCTTGGGCGGCTGGTCGCTGGAAACCGGATCGCTGGGAGTGACAGCGGCAGCAGTGGCGGCGGCCGCACTAGTGACGAGCGCGGAGGTAGTGGAGCAGCAGAGATTCGCTCCAGCAGCGTTGCAAGGACTGTGATGATCGGCAGCCGCGATCTGCGATGGAGCGGCGGCGGCGGTGCTGGACTGCGAGCCGGGGCTCATGGACAGCGTCAAGGACTGCAAATTCGCAAGCGCGCTAAACTCTCCGGTGGCGCCTCCGGTGGCGGTGCTCTTGGCGGTGCCCGGATTGGCGGCGATGGCGGGGGCGATGGCGGCCTTGGTTGCGAGCTGATGATCGCCGCCGGGAGGAGAGGATCCTTGCTGGTGCTGGCGGAGCCAAGTCTTGAGCGCGGATATCCCCAGCATATTCCCGCCATTGCTAGCGTTGCTCGAGCTATGGGGGAGCTGCAGGCTGCAGTCCGAGAAGAGGCTGCTGCTGGCCTCCTGGTGGCTGTGGTGGTGCTGCGCGTGGCCGTGGTGATCCATCTCCTGCCCCGCGACGAGCTGGCTAGAGTGGGAATGAAGCGACGAGATCGTGGAGCAGAGATTGTCGTCCGCCTGCTGCTGGCTGTGCTGCTCGAATTCGCTGTGCCGCGATTGGTGCGAGTGGTGATCGAATCCCCCCTCGCCGGTGGCCTCCGCGAGGCCACCACCGTAGAGGTTGTAATACGGGAGATTGACATTGATCTCCGCGGCGTGATCGTGTTGGTGCCGCGGCGTCGCTGAGAAGGGAGCTCCGGAATGGTGGTGGCCAATCTGGTGGTGGTGCTGCTGCTGCTGGTGGCCGCCTCCGCCGCCACCACCACCGTAGAAGAGATTCGCTACTCCCGGGCTGGTGTTGGAGGAGTCTCGGCTCGAGTACTGGCCGCCGCCGCCACCCAGGGACGAGCCACCGCCCAGGAAGTCCGCCAGCTTGGGAGCTTCGTGCTCGGGCTTTGGGCGGAGGAGATTCTCGTAGTGGTGGTGGATTTGCTGCTGTTGCTGGTGGTGCTGCTGCTGCTGCGCTTGCGCTGGCTCCAAGCCCAGCCGCGAGTAGTCGTAGACTTGGGGATGCATGCTCGCGCTCATTCCTGCATATTTGTGCCATTGATCTGCGAAGAACACCGGGTGAGAAGCCATGGAGGATGGAAACTCGAGGAGGACGAAGAACAATAAGTTGTAATAATTCTACTGCCAGACGCAAACAAAGAAGGGAAAAAGGAAAAGAAAAGAGAGGCAGTGGCAATGCAGATGCCAGGCTTGACCGCGAAGAAGCTTTGCCAGGAGGAAGACGAAGAGTGAGCCAAGAAAAAACAAACAAACCTTGATCGCTACTGGATCTCCGCTGCTCGAACGCTTCCATGATGCAAAGCGAGCCGTCCGTGGCGAGCTGCGGCTGCTGCATCTGGAGCTCGTGATGGTGGTGGTGATGAGGCGACTGATCACTGCTGCCCAGCTGCTGCTGCTGCTGCTGCTGGTAGTCCGCGGCGGCGGCGCTGCTGCCCTGGAGGTGATCACCGCCACCGCCGAGCTTGGCGTCGCCGATGGACGAGGGAGCTTGCTGCTGCTCGAAAGAAGGGAGATGTGGCGAGAGAGAGAAGCCGAGCCAATTACTGTTACTAGCAGAAGACCTCATCGCTCTTCTTTCTCTCTTTCTCGCCCAAAAGAGAGAAGAGTCCTAGATGATCACCAGGAAAGAGAGGTCTCGGAGCCCATTAACTATCGCCCGCCGCCGATCATATCTTCCAGTAGCACTGCTGTTACAGGTGCTCTTTGTTGTCTAGACGGCTCCCTGATCTTCGCGTGCTCGCATTTGAGAGAAGCAACGCACTGGTACCGGTGTGCTCATCATTGATGTTGGATCAACACGAAAACAAGAGACAAGCTTGGGATTTGGATTTGGATCTCTTCCTAAAACCCAAGAAAAAACCACGAAGAAAACTAGAGGAAAGATTTCGAGCAGCCTAGACCATAGCTAAACTAGTAGAGAGGAGCTTTTCAGAGAGTGCTCAGAAGCCAACTCTCTCTCGCAATCTCGCGCGCTAGATTTTGAGAAGAATGTTACGAGACCCAAAGGCGAAGAGGCAGCAGGAACAAGACATGTACATGGGGAAGCAAAACAACACAAGACCACAAACAAGTCGAATGGCGAGAGAGTACTCTCCGGACGAGCGAGATGAGGTGAGGAACGAAGGAAGAGGAAGACGGGAGCGATGGGATTTCTTTTGGCAGCAGTGACAGCTAAGTACAGCGCGCACTCACTCACTCACTCCCTCGTCTCATTACTCGGAGCTCAGCGCTCACGCTCGCGCAACGACGAGAAAGAGAACACTGAAAGACCAGCCAACCACGAAGCGCTTTCCACCGAGCGCCGCCGCCCACAAACACAGAGTTCTATGAGATCCTTTCAGCTTTCCCCAAAAGAAAGAGAGAGCTCTTCTCCTCCTCGTTCTCTCTCTCTCTCTCTCTCTCTCTCTCTCTCGTGCTTATTTACGTGAACCCTTCGCGGTTTAAGAGGAGAAGGGAAGGGATGATTGAGAAAACGATGAGAGAGCGAGATCCTTAATAGGTCACTTACTTTGATCTTGGTGAGATCTTGGTCTCTAAAAGCTCTCGCCTCTCCTGGCCGGGAAGAAGGAGACGCCACTGTTGCGAGCCCAGGAGCGAAGCAACATTGAGCCTTGAACACACAAATCCACACACACTATCTATCTCTCACACAAAACAACACAGCGAGGTATATATATCGCTCTCCCAGGACGATGTCTTTGGTCCGGTCACACGGCTACGCTCTCTCGAGCCCCATACGGACCCCGGCCCTTTTTATCTCCCTCTTTTTCTCCCACACCTTGGCCCCCTTTGCATCGATCCATGCGCGACATTTTTAATCGCGCCCCAAGTTCCATTGCTCCAATGTTGGGGATTGATAGAAAACCTTAGCGAGCTCGAGCTCAAGCTCCAGCTCAAGACCAAGAGAGAAAGAAGCAGAAGAAGAAGATCT